TCCATGTAAGAGTGTGGAAACCGGGGTGGCATCCCTGGGTGTGAATCGGGATCTGCCCCCTGCCAGCTGTGTGAAGCGGGGCAGGATCACTAATCCACCGGGCCTCAGCGTACCCTCTGTGCTGGGGGGGTGGGGAATGGTCAGGAGAGCGCTATCTCACAGGGTCATAGTCAGGATGAAATGAATTAACGCGTAAGGAGCCATGGTTCACTGCTCCCCACCTCCCAGGAAATGACATCACCAGCATCCCAGGTCATCAAGCCAAAAACACAGGGGTCATCCGGCTTCTGCTCTGTGCGTGTGGGATGTGTGTAAAGAAACAGTGGCAGTCCTGCTGACTCAGCTTCCAAAACCTGTCCCCAAGTTCATGGGCTTCTCTCCATCTGTGAGCACACCCTGGTCCAGGCCATGTCATCACTCCCCCGGGCAGCGGAGCAGCTTCCCAGCCTCCCATACACGCTGCCACCAATCTACCACTCCCTCCACAGGTTGCAACCAGAGCGATCTTTCACTTAAGAGAGTTAAATCAAACTCTACTGTCCTCCTTTCCCTTCTTCTAACATTTTATCATGGAAACTGCCAGACATACATAAACACAGAGGGGGTCAGATGACCTGCAATGAACTTACATGCATCTTCCATATTCAGCAATACGACGATGTGTCTTCCCTCCACACACCCCCAAGCTCCCCTCCTGCACCCCAGACAGCACATCACCTCATCTGTACATACTCCACTCGACAAAGTAAATTTTTTTTTGGCCACGTAGTTCCCCTACCAGGGAATGAACCCAGGCCGGCAGTGAAAGCCCTGTGTCCTAACCTCTGGACCGCCAGGGAATTCCCAGCACAGTAATATCTAACCCCCAAATCAGATGATGTTATTCCTTTGCCCAAACCCCTCCTGGGCCCCTACCTCCTCACCCTGGCCTTGACCCCAACCTGTCCCCTCCCCTCTCCCCCTCGCCCCTCTGTTCCCCGTGTGGGGCTCTGTGTTCATGGTCTCTCTACCTGGAACCCCCATTTCCCTGACTTTGCATGAATGCCTCCCACTGGCCACATGTGTTCTCAGCTCCCCTGTTTGGATTTCTTCCCTAATCGCAGCGAGAAGCCAGTGGAGGGATCTAGGCAGGAGGGCACGGTGATCTGGCTTCGGTGTGTGGGATGAGCTATGGGTGGGATGGGGGAGCAGGAAGGCCGGGGTCTGAGATCATTAAATGAGATGAGAGCTATAAGGCAATCAAGCCACGACATAGCAAGTGCTCAAAAAATATTAGCTCTCATCAGTGCCCGTGCTGGGTAAACCTTGGTCCCCTGCTTCTAAAGCAGAGTTGTAGGAAGAAAAACCATGTCCGAGTGTGAATGTGCTTGCCCCAAGCAACCCAGCTGGTGGGGTTCTGGGGCTGTGCGCTCCCTGGACTCCTGGCTTCCTCCGGTGGGGAGATAGTTACAGGCACAAATGACATAATTCCACGGAGAACATTCCTTGCCAACGTAGAAGAGACCTGGTCTAGGAGCAGTGAGTGGGTGAGTTCTTCCAGGGTGGGGGGACCAGGAAGGCGCCCCGATGCCAAGAGAGCCGGGCTGGAGGGAGTCCCCCCACCCCGGGCAAAGTTGGGGCGTGGGTGGGGTGGGTGCAGCGGGCTGGAGGGGGACCCAATGTCTCCAGCCAGGGCCAGCACCCAGGGTGAAGGAGGGAGCCTCGGCCGCCAGGGGGAGCCCGTGGACTTCGCTGGCCTGAGGACGCGGGGCTGCCCCCAGAGGAAACAGCCTCTGCGAGGTAGCCAATATTTGACTACAGACAGGCAGACCGACCAAGAGTGAATCCTGTCCTGCCACTCGCTGGGAGGGTGACCTTGGGCAAGTGACTTGGCTATCCCGTGCCTCGGTTTCCTCGCTGTGAAGGGAAGAAAGCCCCAACTGGAACCAAACCCCGAAACTGGCTCACTTGACCTTGACCTCCTGGCGCCTTCCCCTCGGACTCTCATCCGTTGAACAGGGACGCTGCTCCTCCCACGTGCCGGTGCTGCTCTGTGCACTGAACCAGCCACAGCCCCTGTCGCTGGAGCAAAGAGCCGGGGGAAAGAGGCTCTGAGCACCCCCTTGCCAGAGGCCACCCCCTCGCCCCCCAGCATCCCAGGTGGGTCAGGTGCCCCCGCGTGCCTCCTCTTTCCTTCCTCATCGCTTCTCACTCTCGCGCACCACATGGCGAGCGGCGGAGGGGCTGGGGGACAGCTTCACGTCTGAATCCCCAGTTGGTTGGCGAACAGCTAGTGTGGAACGGGCCTGATGAGCTGAGTCTGAATGGGACTTTCCCCCCCGGCCCCTGCAGGCTGGTGGCTTCCAAGGCAGGGGATGGCCTGGGGCTCAGACGTGCATCTCCCCTAGATTGGTTTATTTTATTTTTTATTTTCTGGCCGCACTGCGTGGCATGTGGGATCTTAGTTCCCCAACCAGGATCGAACCCGGGCCCCCCGCATTGGAAGCACGGAGTCTTAACCACTGGACTGCCAGGAAAGTCGAGCCCCTCTTGCTCTGGACAGGCCTGCATGGAGGGGCCCTCTGTGCTCCCCACCTCCTATGAGCTTTCTCGAGGTTGGCTCCTCCCCTCAGTCTCCGCTCAGCCAGACGCACTGGAAGGTTTGCCTGGAACGCCTGGTATGGCAGCTTGGTCTTTATCCGGGAAGGGCTGCTGGCAGGGAAAGGTGTGGTCAAGTTTGTATCTTGAGGGGGCCCTGGCTGCAGGGTGGAAGACAGCTGGGTCGGAGCTGGCAGGTGGTGGAGGGGCCCCAGGCAGGACAGCAGGAAGGACTCTGGCCGGGGAGAGGCCCATGCACAGGAACTTGGGATGGTCAGTCGGCCTCAAGGATGAAGCCCAGGTCTCCAGCTCCCGTAAGCAGTGACGCCACTGGTTTTAGGAAGAGCCCTGAGGGCTGAGGCTGAGCTTGGCCTCGCGTGTTACGAATCTGTGGCCCATCATGGAGCCAAAATGACTGTGGATGGTTGGAATAGGACCGCTAAGGAGGGAGGGGGTGGGGTGGAGAGCACAACCGATTCTTGGGAGGAAAGGACTTGGAGTCCTGGCTGGGGCAGAGGGACAGGCAGGCCCCGTGACACTCCACACCCCCATTCCTTGGAGGTAGGAGTGCCAGGCAGAGGCCCCTGGTCACAGGCTAAGGATGAAAGCCAGCCCTGCGGGTTGCCCCTTGTCCTACCCCCCGGAGAGGAACAAGCCACCCAGTGTTCCATGGCTCACGGGCGTCTAAGGCTCTGTCTCTATCGGGTGAGACCCCACCAGCCAGGGTGTGGAGCCTGCCCTTGACAGGCGGCTGGGGTGATGCTGGCAGAGGAAAAAGGCACCCCCTAAATCCCCCCGATTCTCCACTCTGTGCAGAGCTGCCTGATCCGGGCAGCAGGTGGCCGCTCAGCCTCAAGGACAACAGAGCTGCAGCCCGGCCTGGAACTCCGAGCAGTGAGGTTGACACCTTCTCAGCCACAGTCAGCGCCAGCACCTGTGATCACACGGCAGATGGGCCCAGGTGGACGATGGGTCGGCTAGGGCCGGGAGAAACACAGGTGCATAGGCTGCTTGGAGCCTAGCTGTCAGGACACACAGCATAGCTGTTGGGGAGGGAAAGGGGTCTGCTGGGCCCCCTGAACCAACCAGTGAGAAAAGATGGGCTGGGGAAACCCGGGATGGAGCTAGAAAACGGGGGAGGACTGTTCCCATCCCTCCTCCCTACTCTCGTAAGTTATTTCAAATGGTTTGGGAGTTCACTACCATTGTCTTTTATTATGCGCCATTTGAAATCCTTTTTGGAGGAGGCAGAATTTCAATAAGAGGAAGTGGACACGCAGGCCTGGCTCAGGAGGTTTCTGTGATGGGGAAACTGGAGTCTCCAGGTAGAACGGTCTCCAGGTAGAACGGTCTCCTCCTCAGGGTTCAGAGTAGTTGAGAAAGCAAGAGTCAACTCCCCACCTGGAATCGCTCCAGGCAGCATGCCCCTGGGGGCCGTGACAGACAGACAGTCTCCCCATCGCCCAGGTAAAGCAGCTGTGTCCACAACACGCCACACTTGCTCCGGGTCACACGGCTGGTGGCTGCATACCTGGCCTGGGAACGCAGCCTCACGTGCTGCCCGCCAGCTCTCTTGCCTCCCTCCGGCTGGTAAGCAGACGAAGCTAGAATGCCAAGTGCAGCCCCGGCGGCTGTAAAACAAAATAGTTAAGGAAAGAGCTGGACTCTGGCCCTCAGCGGGTAAGTTAGGTCTCCTCTGCCTCAGTGGCCCCGCCTTTAAAATGGGGATCAGAGCCCTGATCTCCTGGGGCGGGGGTGAGGGCTGAATGAGTTTCGTGCATGAAACACAAGGACAGCGTGGGACACAGGACAAGCACAGTGTGGGCGCTGAGGGCTGTTGGGGACATGAGGCCTGGCACCGGGGCAATCGTGCTGCTGAGGAGAGGGCCCTGGGCTCACTCGGGCCTAGCGCTCCCCTGGGTCCCGGGGTGACCTGGAGCGAGGTGCTAGTAATGACTCTCCCACGGCACCAGCTTATTGGGTTTCCACTCGGCCAGGGCCCACCATGAGCTGTGCGGGGTCACCTAGAGCCTGGTCTGGGCAGGTCCTGCCGACCTGGCCACGTTGTGTAGCTCAGGTGTGGTTTACATGTTGCATTCGGCTCTCGTGCCCAAACCAGGCTTCACGCGTCCGCCACTTCACAGTGCTGAAAAAGGAGGGTTAGAGGAAGGGGCCCCACCTCCACGCGGTGCCAGAGACCCTCAAAGGCTGGGGCTCCTCCCACCCAGGTTGGGGCAGGTTTGGGCCTAAGAGCGAAGCCCAGGAGAGCAGCACAGACACAGCAGATGGCCAGGGCCTCGTGTTACATTCAACGTTTACAAGAACACACCCCGTCACATGCATCTCGAAAAGGCTCCCCGGCCACCATGGGCGGGGGGCGGGGGCGGGCAGGACGCAGCCCACACAAACGGGGAGACAGGGTCTGAGTGGAAAGGGTCATTGCTTTAATTCAGGTCGGGACCCACCCCGGGGCCGCCCACCCCACCCCAAGGCAGAATCACTGCCTGCTCGTGATCGTTACAAAAATAAATACGAAAAAAGCAGCAACTCTTTAGTGATCGTGGAATTAATCGGACAACGATTGAATGTGTTTAAGCGACTGGCGCGTCTCCTAACTTTGCACCAAAAGAATCTGGAAGCACTTGGTTTGCCCACAGAGGCAACACGGAAGGAGGGGAAGGGCCCAGCCCAGGCCCGGCCAAGCGCCCTCCCCTCACATCTCTGAGTCGGTGTACATGCCGTTGATGAGATAATCCACCTGCGTGTAGTCCTTCCTCTTGTAGCTCTCGTAGGCCTGCAGGGCAAACAGAACCAGGACTGTGATGAAGAGGGTGACCCCCAGCAGGAGCACTGCCAGGAGGAAGCTTCTGCTCACCGGGGACTGGGCCAGGGGCTCGCTGGAGACCACCGGGCACCGGCCTCGGGTGCTGAGCGGACACGCGTCCGTGGCTGGCACCTTGGAGTCCCCTGAGCTCCCAGGGGTCGGCCCCACGGAAGCAGTGCCAGGCGCGGCTTCAGGCTCGCCCTGCTCCGGCGTCTGAGTGGTGCCTGGCCCCGCGGCCCCCGGCATGGATGTGACGGGGCTGGGCTGCGTCGGGGGGGCCGGGCTGGAGTGAGGGGCAGACGCTGGCGCTGTGCTGGCAGCCGGCTGGGGGGCCTTGGTCGTGGTCCCCACTGTCATGGATGCGGAAGCCGAAGAGGGGGAGGCGGGTTCTGGGGTTGTGCTGAGGAGGGTGGGCGCAGGCCTACTTGCCACGTCAGCCGCAGTCCGGGCCGTCGGCGCCTGGACGGTGGGGCCCTGTGTGGACGCGTTAAGTGTTTGGGGACTCAGGGGCACCGTGGGGCTGGCTGTGGCATGGCCGGGGGTGTGCCCGGGACGACCGTGCGAGTCCAAGGGGCCGCTTACGCTTGCCAGGGCTGCAGCAGCTGTGGGAGCACCCGTGGCCGGCGTGGGTGTTGTGTGCGTCGCTGGCCCAGACAGTGTGCCGCTGCCAGGCGCCCGTGTGTGGGGTGAGGACGGGGTCCGCCGGTCAGACGCCGGGACAGGCGGTGTGGGCACCCCGGAGGTGGCTCCGTCAGGGGTCCCTTCTGCCGTCGCTGACGCGCCTGCCTCTGTCCTGTGCATTGTCCCTGCTGTGACCGCAGGAGAGGTGGGGTCGCCTCCCCAAGTCCCTCTGGTCAACGTGATGGGAGAAGGTGTCACCGAGGTCATTCTTGCAGACATTTCATTCAAGACTCTTGTAATGGTTTCCATGGATGAGTTTTGTTCTGAATTCTCCAGCGTCTTGTTGAGGACTGAGTACCCTTAGGGTCAGAAAAGGGAGGAAGAGATACGATCACCTTCAACCCTGTGCAGGTGGATCATTCAGAGACTGCCTTAATTTCCGGCCCGTGGGGCTGGCCGGGGAGGCTGTGTGGTGCCTTGCTTCTTAGCCCGGCAAACACGTTTCCCTCTCATCTCCTCCCTGCACACATCTGGCCGGCAGCCCATCACAGAGGCGCTCAGCACTTTGATTTAAAATCTCCTTTGTGCTCTCTGAACCCCAAGCCCATGAAAGGCTTCAGAGCTTCATTTTTTTTTTTTTTGCGGTACGCGGGCCTCTCACTGCTGTGGCCCCTCCCATTGCGGAGCACAGACTCTGGACGCCCAGGCTCAGCGGCCATGGCTCATGGGCCCAGCCGCTCCGCGGCACGTGGGATCCTCCCGGACCGGGGCACGAACCCGCGTCCCCTGTATCTGCAGGCGGACTCTCAACCACTGCGCCACCAGGGAAGCCCCCAGAGCTTCATTTTTTGATCCAGTTCTCAAAATATCATCATCTCTCACATTACAGGTGTGATTCGCCATTAAAAAAACCTATCCAACACACACCCAGGTTTACACAGCAGATAAACCGTTGCCCAGATATTCACACCATGCAAGAATTCTTGGCTTTATGATCGGATTCAAAGCAGGATTCCTGGAGAAGAACAGTGTCTGGCACAGAGGAGAAGCGCCACTAAATATGTGACGTGTGGATCGACAAACTCCCCAATAAAGACGAGGTTTATGGAAGGAATGACATTTTGCAAGGCCAAGTAAGTCACCCTCTCAAGGCTCAGAGGCCAGGTCCCATGTTGGCCCAACAGGTCTTTGCAGCCCAGCCCCCGGGAGCTGCGGGGCCCCTGCAGGCCCGTCCAGCAGTCACACGGCTTTCTCACTTACGTGGATGCGGGGCTGTCAGGTGGCTTTCAGATAAGGACCAAGAGGAAACCCAGATGAGCACGAGGGCTGTCCACATCTTGCAGGTGAGCTGGCAGCAAGGCTGGGCGGTGCCCGAGGCCCCCAGCCTGCCGTTCCTCAGGCTGCTGACAGTTCCCTGCTGCTTGGCCGAGGAACCTAAGGTCAGGAAGGGAGGCATCTGGTCAGTGACGCACGGGGCACAGGCCTGGCAACGCGCCGGCTGTGGAGTGCTCCGAGAGGTCCCAGGGTGCAAACCCAGCCAGATGTTTCCCCTGGGGCCTGGCATTCAGGAAGAGCATTCAGGAAGAGTGTCTCAGCCACGTGTTCAGGGATCCGCCCAGTGCCTGCTCTGACGGGTTTATAGCACTTCTTAACCCAGTCTCCCTATGTGTCTTACTATCCCACCTCAGAGTTCAGAGTATGAAAGAGCAGCAGAGAGGGGGGCCAAGACTTCCTCCTCACCTTCTCTGTGGCCTCTGCAGGGCCCAGAGCACTTCTCTGCACCCGTGACAGCTGACCACATGGAAAGATTCCACTTAGCCAGCCAGCCACCACCCATCACCCATCCACTGCCCATCACCCACCCATCCATCCATTCACCCATCCATCACCCATCCACCCATCATCTACCCATCCACCATCCACCCATGACCCACCCACTGCCCATCACCCATCCACCCATCACTCATCCATTCATCCATCCACCCATCACCCACCCATCCATCCATCCACCCATCTATCACC